CCGTCATTATTTCTGTAAATTCCGCCGTATTTCATAAGGGGTGAAATTAAAAGTCAACTTGTAGCGCTGCCACGCTCAGAGGGGTACTGTGGGGTACTATGTATGCCATCTACACCAAATTTAGCCCCTAAAGTTGAACTTTAAAAAAGAACATTTGGTACATCCAAAATGACCCTCTACGCACGGAATCACCCAGACCCCCAAACAGAAATGATCCATGTTTGGTACCCCGATCCATGTTCGGCACTTTACCCTACATTTTCGGAAGCAAGAAGCAAATTTTTGACGATAATAAATCATTATCAGTCCAAAACATGAGAAAAAATACTCTAATATGTATGGTCATGGTGCCCCACTAAAAAGTGGTCATGGCTCCCCACAATGCAGTTTACGACTCTAAGGCTCCCCGAGCAAGCATAAAGCTACTTAGAATGAAATGCGATGTTGGATATTTTGCCGGAGAGCCGAGATTTCGAGAAAAACCTAAGACATCGAACTGATCTCCTCAAATGTGAGAGTGAGAAAAAATATCCCAGATTTGAAATACGCCCAATTTAGCCAAAACGCTGTAACAAAAATTTTGGCGAGGTGCTATGGTCGTACCCTTGAAGCTAGAAGGTAGGGCTCTGGCTGAAAATAATCAGAATCCTATTCTCTTGAAAGTCCGGTCGACCGGTTGCCGTCGGCAAAGTAGTTCCCGAGAGGGGTGGTCATGGTACCCCAGTGGTCATGGTTCCCCACCCTCCCTTACTGCACACACTTCAATTTGCAGGGTGATTTTCCTTACAAGTGAAGAAAGTCATCAGAACATTTGATGAGGTAGTTGTCACACCCTGCAATAAGCAACTTATAGGGGCTTTGATGGAAGCGTACCACGTTGTGATGAGATTTGCATCATTTGCAAGTGACGAAAGTGTTTATCCACGAGTTTGTCTCAACGACGCGTCCTAATAGAACATCCGAACTGCCAGAGCTGATCCAAGACAATCTTAACTTTCAGTGCAGATTTAGAACTATCCTAACTGCAGAGGTACCTAAAAGTGTTCATGAAGAATCTTCATGCAATCACAGATCACAGATCTCGCTACATCTGAAATACAATGTCCAACTATTTATTTAAGATGATACTTTGTAACAGGTCCCTCGGCGAGTAATTTTATCAAGTATGTGGCGTCACGGACTTTGAGAAAACACAGCTTTTCACGTGATGCGCAGTTAGGATAGTTTTGAAGTTAGGGTTGTTTTGGAACTGCTCTGACAGTTACACGGCAAAAGTACCGCCTGGGATTCCCAAGCGCATCATGAGAAAAAGGGCCTATTTTCCAGGCACCGCCTGGGAATCCCAGGCGGCACTTTTGCCGTGTAGGATTGTCTTGGATCTATCCTGGCAGTTAGGATTATTCTATTAGGACGCGTCGATAGCAAATTTTTACAGTGCATTATTCGACCCGCTGCAGTGGTTGACTTGAAAAGTCCAGAAAAAAACAGAGGCTGGCTGAAAATTGCAATTTCCGATTTGCTGCTCTAGCTTCTACACGTGACATGAACCATGCCCTTACATATACACAATACACGGGTGTTTTTTGTTTTTTAGGAGTCTACAGCGCCATGTTGTTGACGTGGCTCGCACTGCTGTCGACAGTGTGCACTGTTAAAAATGAATGAAATTTAATGACATTTGTGACATTATTTTTCATTAAACGTCATTATTTTTAATTACATCTCCACATTCATTACATTGTAATGAAAATTTCATTACCTCGGTCATGAAGTTTAATGACATTAGCCATGTAATGAAAGTTTCATTACACTATGAAGCTTGTCATGAAATTTTCATTACATGTCATTAAATTTTTCAAAAATATTTAAGCATGACTGATTTTTTTCGGATTTGTCCAGGATTTAAGTTCAGCTTACTCAAACTAATTTAGCCTTCTATTGGCCGCCAACATCAATTTTTCTCCTACAGTCGTCCATTACGGCGTCATATGCCAAACCTGTCATTCGCAAGTCTGCCGCTAGGTGTCGCATGGTACACGGGGATCACTCTCAACTCTGTATTTCGTATTAAAATATTAAAACGTGACGAGATATTCTGAAATGTATCCGTGATTCATGCGAAGTGCTGGATTGTTAAACTAATGGCGAAGAGTTTGGAGGAATAGAGCGATATTTGAAGTGACCAAATAGGTTTGTCTGATGTTGCTCGAAGGCCGCTACGGGCTGCCGTTTGGTAGGGTCAGCACCCGATCTCTCTCACTCAGGCAACTAAACTGCCTCAGACCTGAGTTGTCCTGGGTCACTCAATTTTTACCTCTTCTCTGCTGTCAGAGTCGTTGAGAATTCACTCTAAGTCAAATCGTGACAAAAAGTTGCGTAATTTGCGTCAACTTTGATCAATTCCATTATGTTTTTGTCATTAAAATTTTAATTACATTCGTTCATTACACTGTAATGAAAATTTTAATAACATATGTGTAATGAAATTTTTAATTACATTGTAATGATTATAGCTTCACTACCATGTAATGAAAATGTAATTAATTTTTTTTAACAGTGTGCCAGTCGAGGGGCGCTGCTCTAGGGCGACAGAAGGTACAGACGAATTCATCTTCAGAGTATGTCAGCATTGATTGTTATCAAAAATTTATCAATTAAGTGCTTACTGTTACCTTACAAGCATTTGCAAATCCTCCAAGAAGTGAGACCAGTGAAATGGCCTGTAAAACACATCGTTCTCTTTTGTCTCGGCATTCTGTCGGGTACTTCAAGTTAACAGATGGCCACATTAGGGAGCGTTGTTTGGGTAGAAGGCGGAGGTGAAAGTCCAGATACAGCCTGGCCTGAAGCCGGGCAATGCTTGTTTTGTGCGAATTGAGTTCTTACAAACGACCGAATAACAAAATCCTTTTAAAGTTTTGAATGTTCACTTACTTCATGTCTCAACCAGAATGGTCTCTGCTGCGATGAAGAATGTTCCAGTCTTAATACATATTTTTAATTGCAGAGCGGCCGTCTCACGGGTGAAATCGTCTCCATTCATGAATGCAAAGAGAACGGTGAAGAAAACAATATTCGATTTAGCCGAAATATTACCCGGCTGCATGGCGCGGATGGCGAGTTTGGCGGGTCAACAAGTTTCGATTTGTTGAAGGGGACGAGGTCTGTGACCAAGGCAAGTCCACTCACTGTCGTAAATTGCCCTGCGTAAGAAAAAAGTGGCCGTTTTGTGAAATTTCCCCAAACTCCCCTATATTTATATTAGTACTCAAAATTTTGGTTGAGGCTTGATGACAGTCCAGTCCCTGTAAGGATGTCATCAAAACGTTTGGTGACAATTTTTAGGGGTTCCCAAGAACCCCTATTGTCCGAGGTCCGTGGATTCTTCCCCCCCCCCTCTCCGATTTTCAAATAAACAACTCTAAACTATTTCAACCATAAAAAAAACGAAAATTCCAATTTTTTTCGAAAATTCATCGTGGAAATTTTCCGTAAACGCGAAAAACATAAATTTGCAACAATCGAAAACGAGAACCGTTAATGATATGAAAAAATGGTTCAAATAAAAAATGTGCCACTCCTCTAAACTAAACCTCCTGGCTCATCAAAGTAACAAGAAATCGTATATGTTCTGAGCAAATGGTCAAACATGAAAAAACAATCTCCATGGCAACGGCATGGTCCCATCGTGCCACCGTCAAAATTTAAAGTCGCCCATTAAAAGAAATCTAAACGCCGTGAAATTCGAAAATGCTAATGCTAACGCATTGCACGGTGTCTCAACGTTGGAACATCTTTAAAGTCTGTCACTAGTAAAAAGTTCGTAGCAGAAACGACACATCTAATTAATTTTCGTGGGTTGGCACCAATTTGCTTGCCGTCTGCGCCCTTTCGAAAATCGCGAGGCTGAAAGAACGAACAGGCGCCCATTGAAACTGCCCCTCCATTGTTGCTGAGGTTGGATTGTTTGGCATGCTCTCAAAGGCTGCGGTTGTCTTGTCATGTTTTCCTCGATTCTGTAGACAAGTTCTTACTCACAACGTAAAAACAGCACGATGGTTGGTTTGACAAACTTTATAAACTCGGGAAGGGTGATTTCGAAACAACTTTATTTCCAACACATCAGTTTCATCATTGGCACTATGTCAAGCATTTTGAACTTGTATTGACTATGTAGTCCGAAGAAATCTTTATAATCCTAATCAAACCATACTCCCATTGACAAAAAACGATTAGCACGCTTAAATTAAATACAATACCTGTTTAAATTCAGGCCAAACCACAATTTCTACACATTTGTTTATATCTTACTTTTAAACCAGTTATGGAATCGGGAACACCGTGCAATGCGATTAGCATTGGAATTTTTTTATCTGCAAGTGATGAAGTCATCCATGATTTTGTCTTGAAGTGCACACTAAATGTCATGGGACTTTTTTTGTCCCACGACTTATGCAATTTTAAGCACATCCGACGCTGATACAATTTTGTTCCGGCCTGGTGACACATTTTGTCCGACGCCTGCTGCAAATTGTACTTTCACTTGACAATTTGTCCCACCTGGCGGACACAAAATTGCATCACCACTTTTTCTTGTCCCATGAATGACGCAATTTTTAGCACATCCGGTGGTGATACAATTTTTTGGCCGCCAGGCGGGACAAATTGTTCAGTGAAAGTACAATTTGCAGCAGGCGTCGGACAAATGTGTCGCGAGGCGGGAATAAAATTGTTTCAGCGTCGGATGTGCTTAAAATTGCATAAATCGTGGGACAAAAAGGCCCATGACATTAAGTGTGTACGAAAAAATGCTTTATAATACGCAGAAAATGAAGGCATAGTAAGATCTACGATAAATGCTTCGGATAGTGAAGCAAAATCCTTCGTTACACGAAGCAATTCTGCAATGCCTTCATTTTCTTTGAAGTTATGAAGCAAATCCTTCGGATGCTTTTCAGAGTGTTCAAAAGACTCAACATCTGTTAACATAGAACCATTTAATGACTAGAGTGAGCGGTCAGGCGTGTTGTTTTATGTATAACATATTTTCGTGTTTCAGGGAAATATTCGCTTTGACTTTTGTTCGCAAGGAGTGACCAAGACTTGCGAGAACTACCTGAACTGGCGGTTTGGCAAGGACGGTTGTGATTTGTGGACCAGCAAGTTAACACTGTGGAACAAATTTGTAGACGCCATTCAACCCAGTTTTGTGTGTCCTTTCCATCCAGTGAGTGCAATGCATTGAATGACGCCTGCAAACGGGTATTCATTGGCAAACTTAAGGGGACAGTAGCGCTTTGTGCATGGTTTTTCCTTTAAAAAAAAAAAAAAAATTCTGTTTGCGCCTTGATAAAAAAGACTTGCATGAATGCTAGAGACGAACGGCGGTAACCATGTAAAAGATCAAACTTTTTGCTGCAAATTCAAAAAAATTATATTTCGATTTAGCATTGAAGGAGACATTTATATGAGGGACGTAAAAAAGGTCTCCTAAATCATACATGGTGTCACTGCGCGCACGATTTCAGCTAAAGTTTTCAACTTTTTTTCAATCGGTAAAGTGCATCAAAAAGAGCATAAAATTGCCCATAAAATGAACCAATTTTGCGTTTGGGTTCCCGGTTTGTGGCTAAGCTCGTCTTCTTTTTGTTTTACTCGTTGCTTTCGGAGTGTTCAATCGCGGAGATATTGAAAGCACGAGAACGTAAAAGAGAACACCGGGCGGACAGGCCTTTAGCATTTGAAGTCTAAAATGGAAAAGAAAAAACGCAAACAAACACAAAAATTTAGGTTTTTTAGACCAATTTTCAGTTTATTTTGCTCACAGAGTGCACTTTGGCTAAAAACGCAAGTTTGACCTAATCTTAAAAATTTGCAAGTCGCTGTATCTCCGAAGTTAGACCCACACCCAACAATTCCGAAATCGTAGCGTGTTAGGACATGGTTTGAGCTAACTATGCACAATTTTGATCGTTTCAGGGATATAATTGTCAATAGGTCATGTAGAAATTGAAAAGTACATTGCAAATGACAAAGTTCGGTTTAATGGACTATAAACATTATACAATGCACAAAATAGTGCATATCCAAAGAGAAAATAGTACATATTACGTTTGCACAAAAACCTTTATGGCAACAGATAAAAAGTCAATACGAGTCTGATAGTGTACAATTTCCGCTATCACTCTGAGAAAAAATGACGGTAAATCCTTGATAATTTTTTTGCCAAACTTTACCGTACTTTAAAAACCAGTATCCACCGTACAGTCTACAGTATTTACCGTACTTGTTTTACAAAATATTCCGTAGTCTTTTAGCAATAGTTACTGTTCTTCCGTACAGTCCATGCCGTAGGAAAGACCAGATCTGGTCCCAACAAAGGCCGCTTCCAAGAATTGTCCACATCAGGATCTTGAAACAAGGGGGTCGACCGACTGAAAAAATTTATTGCACCTTTCGATAGGTCTCGTCAAGACCTTTTCAACGAGTGGTCGGAAGGGGGGTCCAGGAGTCCGACTTTTGCAGTTAACGTACATCAGGATCTTAAAAAAAGAGGGCCGACCGACTGAAAAAAAAATATAGCAGTTTTTGACAGGTATTAAAAGTACGGGATTGCCGGGGGGAAAAGTTCGGGATTCCCTGTAAAAAAAAAAGTACGGTATTGCCTGTAAAAAAATGACGGTATTGCCTGTTTAAAAATGTACGGTGCAGTCTGGAGTAATCAGTACAGGATTTACCGTGATCTTTTCTCGCAGTATACACGGTTTTGGATTTCACGATATGGGCATGCATGCTCAAAATACTTCGTAAGGTTTTAAGGGTGCCCGAAACGTAAGAATCGCTCTCATGCAATTTAAAGCACATCCGACGGTGATACTATTTTGTTTCCGCCTCATGACACGTGACACACATGGTGACGTCTCCTGCAAATTGTATTTTCTTTTAGACACTTTGTCCCGCCTTGGTGACAAAATTGTATCTCTACTACCGTCGGATGTGCTTAGAATTCTGTAAAACAAAAAAGGCCTATGACAGTCAGTGTGTGCGTACTTTAAAATGCACGCTTTCATTTTAGGGACACTACACTATTACCAATATTACACTCGATGCAAAGAAGATGGAAATGATACCAGTGGAGGACCGGGAGTGGTTTGTCACCCTGCAAGCATACGGTGACAATGAGCAACCTTGGATGTGCACCGTCTTCGACGTCAAGTTGTTCCGCACGGGGCGACGCAGGGGACCCAAGTAGCAAGGACTTCTGCGCCCACCGAAACCACCACAGGATTCCTGGATTGATCTCTTTGGTCTAATATACATAAAAAGGGAAAGAAAATTACCCAAAATTTTTTCGTTATTTTACGAGAATGTTTTTTACAGTGCACTAGTGATTCACCCCTCGGCTGTTTCTTTTTAAATTATTTTGGCAGTGCCTTAAGGGGAGGTTCTGGTGAAAATGCTATTTTCTCCTAAATAGGTCCCACTGTGAAAATTTGTTAAAAATTTGATGTCTCATCAAGTATTTATTAAAATTTTTCATTGGGGAGGCACACTCTATGCCCTGAACCCAATCGCAGAGCCATTTTCTCCCATTTAGGCTATAACTTTAAAAATCTTCTTGCGCATACTATTTTGTCGTAAAAGGTTGGCTTAGACATTTTTCACTTCTTCAATTCATTTTTTAAAAATGCCGGCATGCACACCTCAAAATGTCAGTTGCATTTTTATTCGCAAGCTTCTAACCAAGCATTTCACTATAATTGATCAAAAATGTACAAAATAGACAAATTTTAGGGACTTTTCAGCTTAAAAAGTTAATAATTAATAATATAATGGAAGTGTTGAGCTATGCATGCCGGAATCTTTTGAAAATGAATCGAAGAAGTGAAAAATGTCAAGGTCAACCTTTTACGACAAAATAGTATGCGCAAGGAGATTTTTTAAGATACAGCCAAAATAGGCTCAAAAACACTCTTCGACTGGGCTTACAGCCTGGCATGTGCCTTCAAAAGTCAAATTTTAGTCTCCTCAATGAAAAATTTTATCTTCCGAACAAATTAGGACTGTGGGATCCATTTGGAAAATGGCAAGATTTTCACCAGAACCTCGAGGTTCCCCTTAACATGCCCGAAACAAATTCCAAACTTCACACACCTGCTTTGACTCTCGATTTCGTCCTAAATGTTATATAAAGTAGCTAAATAAACCATGGGATGAAAGCGAAGAAGGAGAAGGTAGCTCGAATTCCTATGCCAATGGGCAGTCGCAGTGAGTCAGAAATACCTGTTTGTCAAGCCTGACATGCTTGAAACGCGATGAAAAAAATCAACTTTGTCGGTCAGTCTAGCTGATTCGCAGCTCGGGGTTCTAGTCAGGTTACAATCAAGATTTATTGTTTGACTTTGAAGACACAGCAGCTCAGCTAGACGTTCAGCGTGACGGGAATAGAAGGCGGGCCCGAATCCAGACGGCTTTGGTCAAAATTAGGGCCACCCTAGGTTTCGCCAAGCCAGCAGCGACAGCGAGGTGCACTCCCAATTTCACTGAAATTCGAAGGGTGAGACATCTGAACGATTTTCGGTGATACAAAAAGTATGACCGAAAAACGGTCTTACACAAAAGTATGACCGAAAAAGGGTCATATCACTGGTGTAAAATTCATCAGGATTTCAATCAGGAAATTCCTGATTGGTCAATCAGGATATTTTCTGATTGGAAAATCCTGATGTATTTTCGCGCACCTCTGATTGATGATTTCTGATTGGTACCAGTTCTGATTGACTATTTCTGATTGTGTTTTTTTCTGAGTGGACAGTTCTGATTGGTAAGACAACTTCAAACATCGGTAATATGACCGTGTCGCACAGTGGGCTGAAATCGCATTCTAGCCGCTTATAATTAATTTCTCTGTCACTCTTGGTCTTAGAGCCTTCAAATTTGGTGTGTAGCATATAATAATGGCACAAAATAACTCCCTAAAAATATTTTACAATTTGATGAACCTGCGACCGAATCCAAGAAACCCGGGTTCAAATCTCGGTAGGGTTTCGTTGGTCAATAATGTTGGTGTTGAGATTAACATCATATCTCATGTTTTTGAGTGTGCTGATGCCAAATTTGATATCGAAGTTGACCTCAGACTTAGATTTCAGTCCCCGTGGGCTCAGAAAGACCATTTTTCTACATTTTTGTTTGTTTTGAGGACTTTGTATTGTTAGGGTTATGTTAAAAATACAGTCTGACTCCTCGTTTCGTCCCCTAGGGTCTCCGTTTTGTCCGAGAGTCATCCCCAATACTGTGGCCCGGGCTAGGATGCAGTTCTTTTGCGGATACAGGTTAATGCAAGGAAAGCAGCTCTCATCATTACTGGACTTTGAGTCGCAAAGACTTTTCAAATCGCCCACTGAGAATGAATTGGTCACCACCATCACCCTTAAATGGGTGATGCAACTCCGTTGCCCAACTTTTGATGACGAAAAATGCATCACCCGACATTTGGTAACAGGCGTTTGGTCGCCCAAATTTGGGTAACGCCGTCTGTCGACGACGCCGTGAGGTTCCCGATGACGTCCTTCAGCGCCACGCCACCACGATGACCGAGGCTTCAACGCCACATTGGGTCATCGTGGTGGCCCCGGAAGAGCGTCATCGAGAACCTTACGGCATCGCCGACGACGTTTTACCCAAATTTGGCGACGATTTTATGACTGCCCAAATTTGGTCACCCCGGGCTTGTCACCCAAATTTGGTCACCACGGCTTGTCACCCAAATTGGCACGGTGCGTGCGTTGAAAGGGCGATGGTGTGACTCTTTCATTCTCAGTGCCGTCGAGTGAAGAAGAAAAGAATGCACCAAACGGGATGTATAGCGAGTATGGAGTGGGTAGCGGGCTGCGGTAGGGGATAAATATTTAAGCCCTTAAAGGGCACATTTTTAATGCCTTTGTTTCCTCAGTGCATTCCCCAAAAGAAAAGCTTGGCGTACGCGCCACTCGCTATGGGCGCGCAGCAGCAGCGTTGATCGTGCGTTTGTGCGCAAGCACGCTCACGGTGCTAACGAGCGCACCCGTGACGTCAGCCCACCACTTTTCGACAAAATACAATGTTTCGACGAAAAGTAACATTTTTAGAGGCCTTGGGTTTGCGTTTGCGCAAGTTTGCGCAGATTTTCTCGGTTGATCCTTTATCAAGACATGCCTCTCGTCAATTTCTAGTGCACAGACATGCTTGATTGGGGTTGATTCGGTAGTAAATCTCAAACTTTATGGTTTTTTGGCCCGTCCCGTTCATTTTTTGTAAAAAAATGACGGAAGGACGGGCATATAGTATGATCCCTGCTGTGCGTCCGTTCGTCCGTTCGTTCGTTCGTTCGTCCGAGGACTTCCGGTCCGATCTTGACCAAATTTGGTATGCAGCCTCCTTGGGTGACCCTAAGAACCGCCCGGTGGCAGCAAATCCGATCCGAGCCCCGGGGGCGCTGCTGCAGGTGCATCATGGTCTACATGAGGTCGAGGAGGATCTCGGCAACGGATGCAGCTAGAAGGGCATGTAGGGGTATTTTTGGAATCGGGGCGACGAGAAAAAACCAATGGTGTCAGTTTCGAGCGAATCGGAGAAGTTCGGACCCGGGTTCAAATCCCAGCGGGTATTTTTTTGAACATTCTTTTTATTTGAGTTTTTGCATTGTTTCTGATGTTTTTTGTGGTGCTGATGACGAAAACGACATTTATTTTGACCCCAGACTCAGGTTTAATTCCCGTCAGGGTCAAAAATAGGCGAAATTCGTACGTTTCTTAATGTACGGGACGGGCCAAAGTTGCCGATGAATATCGCTACTTTTCCTGTTATTACTGATAACTTGCGTCATTTGTGGTAAAATAGAGAGCCGTTCATCCAATTTTGGTCAGAAAAGAAAAACATTAGTGCCATTTGAAAGGGCAGACCTTAAGCTTCAAGAGAAACCCAGTGGAAGTTTGAAACTAGCACTACAATCGCTCACAAATTATAAATATATCACAGCTTATTTTTCGCATCAATTTGGAACTTCTACCGAATGTTGAACTTTGACGGCATGTAGCGCTCAAAGTATTTGTCGCACGTCACTTCCAAGAGCAGATTTGGAATCTACGGAAAATTTCCTATCAATTACATTTGAAATCGGCCAATTTGGACGACTATCAAAAAGTTATTTTTAAGCGGCTACAATGCGATTCCAGCCCACTGTGTGTCGGGGCACATTCAAAATTGATGATAACTTCTCTGGGGGGGTCAAAACTGAGTCCGATCCAAATCTGAAGTCCGATTTTCGATAGCTCGTGATCAGGCCTCGATATGCTACTAAAGATGATCCGATGTGTATGAAATTAAAATGGGCCTAGTCAAATCGGCTGAACATGTCACATACCAAATTTGAACCCGATACCGCAAATACTTTCCATTTTATAGGCATCTGTACTTTGACACCATCAAAATTTCCTGATGTTCTTTTCTGATTTCTGAGTGGCAATCAGCAATCAGAAAAGCAGTCAGAAATTGTTTGATTGCCAATCAGAAATCAAATATCAGGAAATTTCTGATTGGCACTCAGACGTCAGAAATCAGGAATTTTCTGATGTCGGTACTCAATCAGGATTTTTTCTGATTGACAATCAATCAGAAATCAGAAAGAATTCCTGATTGACAATCAGAAATCAGAAAATCAATCAGGATCAGGAAAATCCTGATTTCTGATTGGAAATCAGAAATTCAATCAGAAAATCCTGATGGCATTTACACCAGTGATACTTAACTATATTACCAAATAAAACATCTAGCTTGGGGATATATCAGCCTTTACCTGTGATACACTATAAAGTATGACCATTTTTCGGTCATACATCGAAGTATGACCTTTTTTCGGTAAATTTCAGTAAGACCGTTATGTCAAAAGTCTGACCTTTCTATTTTCAGTGTTCCCACTGAGAAATGTCGTGCAGTCCATGCATGCACGGTAAAAACGGTAGGGCTTTCCCAGGAAGCCTATGACAGGCATAGGCGATTTCCAGGGAGTTCCTGGGAAAACCAGGAACCATTTTTACCGTGTGCAGTCGTAAAACAAAGTTTATTCTCAGTACTTTACGATACAAATCTATCATAATACAGAGACATGTGTTCGTAATACGCTTCAACACAGGTAAGTACTTTCGTGACACTAAGTTCGTATTTCCACACGCTCATAACCTTACGAAGTATTTTGAGCAGACATATTACAAACTAACTTTACTTAGTTATGCGAAGAAATAGTTCGTAAATTACGAAGTATTTTCTTTGTAGGCTAATATATGCTCAAAATACTTTGTTATAGCAAGCTGCTTTACTTTGTAAGGCCTGAAAGTTTGCAACGTTTTCTCGGTGCACGTAAACGCTCAGTGGGATCTTGGGGACTGTAGTTCAGTCAGGGTGCGTTGTCCTGCTTCAGCTTTGGTGCAGTTTCGCCGAACAGCCGCATGCATCCGACGTTCTCCTTGCTGTCGGTGCGCAGCAGTCGTAGCGTGATGCGCCACATGCCGTAGAAGAAGACGGGCACCGCTTTGATGTCGAAGTCGGTCGAGACATTCCGCACTATGTAGGTGCCCTGCGCAATCGCACACCGCGTGCATAGTTTATACTTGCGGGGCGTTCCACGTCAAACCATCATGGTCCAAAACGTACTTGCTCAGATCCGGCCCCCAATTTTTTATCTGGTAGTGTACCACCCAAAGACCACTCTCATAAATTTTTTTTAAAAAAAATTTCAGAACTTTGGCCACAGTGATGTTTTAAAACTTCAAAAAAAATATAAAATTTTTTTTTTATTTTTTTTAAAATTGTGTATCTAGGTGCTCAAATGGGTTGAAAACAGAAAAGGGCAACATAAAATAGTGAAAAAAAAATTGGGACCCCCAGCCCTTACCAGAAACAAAGTTTCGATAAAAAAACCAGGGTTTTCTTGAATTCCAAAATACGCCTTTTCACTTGTGGACCATATTGGCACCAAAGGCCCCCAATGAGGTACTCTAACTGTCACTAAAAAATTAGGGACGGGAATCCATAAACACCGAGATATTGTAAAAAAACTCGAAAAGTTATCGAAGGTTTCGAAGCTTTTCCCCCCAAAATTGTCAAAATGGGACCTATATTGGTTCCGCTGAGGCACTGGCTTTGAAATACTATTAAATTGTCTATCTTAACCCCATGGAAGATGTGAGAGGGTAAAGGTCGCATTACAAGATTTTTGGAATTACACGGCAATAAGTTTTTTTAATTAAAATAACCAAATGCGACAAAATGCATTTTTGGCAGTCGCCAACTGAAGCTCATTGATTGGTGGGGACTTCATCCAGGTCATCTTCTTTTTCTTCTTTTAAGTCTCCAGCAGTTGCATGGTCGAGGTGAAGGTGGCTTGGATGAAGTCCCCACCAATCAATGAGCTTCAGTTGGCGACTGCCAAACAATGCTTTTTGTCGCATTTGGTTATTATAATTAAAAAAACTTATTGCCGTGTTTGCCGTGAAATTTCCCAAAAACTCTTGTAATGCTGACCTTTACCTCTCTCACATCTTCCATGGTGTTAAGATAGACAATTGAATAGTATTTCAATGCACAGTGCCTCAGCGGAACCAATATAGGTCCCATTTTGACAATTTTGGGGGGAAAAGCTTCGATAACCTTCGATAACTTTTCGAGTTTTTTGACAATATCTCTGGTGTTTATGGATTGCCGTCCCTAATTTTTTAGTGACAGTTAGAGTACCTCATTGGGGTCCTTTGATGCCAATATGGTCCAAAAGTGAGACGGCGTATTTTGGGAATTCAAGAAACCGTGGTTTTTTTTATCGTAAACTTTGTTTCTGGTAAGGGCTGGGGGTCCCAATTTTTTTTTTTCACTATTTTATGTTGCCCTTTACTGTTTTCAACCCATTTGAGCACCTAGGTAAGGGAAGGTGGGGCACAATGGGACACTTTTCTTTAAATTGACGTAGGCGACTGAATATTTGACTTAAAATGCCCCAAACCGTCCTCAACGATAGTAAATTATGTTCTCTTTGAAGTGGTGGGGTGTGTACTATTATTTTTAATGTCATCAGGTACATTTCTCCATTTTCCCAAAACATTGCACTTGTCCCATTGTGCCCCGGTCTGGGGCACAATGGGACACCCCCTGGGGTAGGATGGGACACTGCGTTTTTTCATCGAAAATTTAGAGTTTAAAAGCTCTACACGCCGACAGATGCAAAGTCCAATGTTTATTGACTCTTAAGACAAACTTGTAGAAGTATTTTGAGAAGCACATGTACGGAAAACGCATCATACCCAATATGTGCTGTCAACATGGGAGAAGACCTTAATCTAAAACAACATAAAACTGACTTCACTTTCATATTTTGCTTTTGAGTAAGAATGCAACTCGGAGACATATCAATAGTTAAGTACTCGATTTATTTTGAAATAGTTTTGTTTACGAAGGGGTTGGGGCATAATTAGACAGCAAGTGGGCTGTCCCATTGTGCCCCAACCGGGTTTGTCCCATTGTGTACCGAACGACACATACGACCAGCCGCGGTCTAGCAACATGACCACTCATCCGACAGCGGGGCGACACGAGTCACTAACGAGCGAAGGGTCAAGGAACAGGCCCCTATTTCAAAAACTCACCTACCTCAATTATCTGCGGAGCTATAGGTAATAATAAATCGAGTGCTGATGCTGGTTTTACCTCGATTTTAGTGTTTGTAAACTTCGTAGCCACCTGCCCTGGCGGGAGAAGGTCGATCGGGGTCACCTCCTTGTGTCAACGTATCTACTACTTCTGGGCTATCTCGCCTCGTGATTGGGCAATCCCACGACAACCGGAAGGCGGCAAATTTGAAAGTGTCCCATAGTGCCCCGTGTCCCATTGTGCCCCACCTTCCCTTACACAATTTTTAAAAAAGTAAAAAAAAAATTATATATTTTTTTGAAGTTTCAAAAAATCACTGTGGCCAAAGTTCTGAATTTTTTTTCAAAAAAATTTATGAGAGTGGTCTTTGGGTGGTACACTACCAGATAAAAAATTGGGGGCCGGATCTGAGCAAGTACGTTTTGGACCATGATGGTTTGACGTGGAACGCCCCTGTTTGTATCCCCCGAGGTGGGGTGTTCGTGGGTCGAATTGCAGATAGTCCCTCAATACCTGGAAAAACTCAAGCCCGGGAAGTCAAGTTTGTCGATCCCACATTTCCACTCCATACTAGGACTACCCATTCTTTAAGTCTTCGCTGGATTACTCACCGGGGGGAAGGGGCAGAAAGCGTTTGGGTTGTCGAACATAGCTACCATCAACTGGCGCCACAGTCCCGCCCCGAATTTAAAGGAAGTGCAGATGCGAGGCAAGCTAAGCATGTACGCGTTGTCCTTCCACCCACCCACCCCGTGAGCTCCATGATGCTATGTTGACATCCCCCTGGTTCCGAATCATCAGTTGACAAATAAGAATACGTGTGCTTGAAGGCGGCAGACAGATTTCTTTAATTGCAAAATTTTATAATGTTCACAGTTTTGAAGTCTGGCAAGTTCATTGCATGTGTTCCTGATGCAAATTTGTACAACTCAAAAGCAGTAGTCTTATTTTCTTTATTCATTAACTTGCGCGGGGAGCGTATGGTGGTTCCTATTGGGGATCCATTGCAGCTTGATTTATGAGTGATTAATATCACCACTGACCAATAATCCCTAGATGAAACATGACGTTCTTTCCTATTTTCTTGTTGTTTGATTTCAAGGCAAGAGTTCGTGTACAGTGTACCGTGTGAGAGTCGTCGAATGTGAAGGCGATCGTGAAGTTGGCAGTGTAGTAGCAAAGATGCACGTTCTGGCGATCACGACGAGGGGGCCACCACTCTCATTTCAGGCGTACACAAGATTACGGGATTACGGGAAATTTACTAGGGATTACGCGTGAAATTTTCGAAAATTGGTTCGAAAACGTTGAAAAATAGCTCAAAAACGTTGAAAAATGACTAAAAACGTTGAAAAATGACAGAATTTTGTCAAGGATTACGTGATTACGCCGTGGATTACCATAGATTACCAGCCAATTTGTACACAGGATTACGGGGGTGGTGGCCCCCTCGGATCACGAGCGCCTCGGACGTGAATAATGACGGGTACAGCAGGCTGCAGCTCGGGTGGGCACATCTCTATGTGACCTGGCACGACTCGGAACGGGCCCTGTGTCCCATGGAGAAAATGTTAAACCTGCTTGACGTGCACACTAAATGTTACGTACAATTTTGTACGAGACATCACACTTCTCTTGTACACACGAAATTTTCGTACGAAAAACTGCACATTTTTCGCCATTTTTGTACAAAATTGTGCAAATTTCGTACGAGAATACGAATTTGTACGAAAAGTTCGTGTGCACCAAAAACTGAGATGTCTCGTACAAAATGTGTACAGTAACATTTAGTGTGTGCATTCCACTGGAAGAGTTTCCTCCGGTGGAGAAGTCATCAAAACTCGTCAACAGTTCCGTCCTTCCTCGACACCAACGCCCTAGGGAGTGCAACGGCGGTAAGTGAGTATGGGGCGATTTGTAACAGATTTTGGAATTCTCTATACAAAATTAAGAACATTCTGCATATCGGTGTCAAACTTGTGCCAGTTGAGCAGTCTGGCCCTTCATCTAGACTGTGCAGCTCCATTGGATCAATCTGGAGGCCGTAAACTTTGAAATCTTAGACGCTTTCCAAACCCTTGCATGCTGTTACGAATCACCCCAGCATGGGGTGAATTGTAACAGCCATGGGGCCTTTCATAACATCCAACATATTAAATGAAACATCGTCGGGAATGGCATCTCCTCCAGCAGTTGTTCATCGGATGTCCTGCAGACGCCTTAAAATCTACATTACAAGCTGCCGTTGACCGCCTCGAGAAAAAATTCAAGCATTTAATTGCTAAAACTACTTAAACTCTTGTTTTTATACGGGTCTGTTACGAATCACCCCAAATGCCTGTTACGCAAGAAATCCGTCCCTAACTATCACTGGACAAAGTAAAAGCAACTTATGCCACGTGGTTACATTGTAAAGGGGTCACGCTTCAAGGCCCCAACGGTACTTCGATGGTGATTCATACCTGGGGATCCTCAGACAGAAACTTCCTAGAACTCAAAATAAAAGATTTGCCTGTTTTCGGTGTACCCTATATTTCAGACGCCCTCCAAAACTATACCTGAGCACCGATCACATCCGCTTCGATTGTTGAAGGACCCTGTACTTCAAGCGAAAGAGGGGCCATACTCAGATTTTCCTCTGCTCCCTCCACTTGAATTAATAAACGCATTTGTTACGAATCGCCCCTGTTACAAATCGCCCCATACTCCCTTACCACCTACCGCCAACGAATTCACTTTTCCTGCAAGTCGACATGGAGGCACCATAAGCACCAACGTGCTCAGGAACCAAGGAAAAAGAAGCCTGCCTGCAAAACGTATCAGATGAACGAACACACCGAGTAGAACCTTTTTGGGGCATACATTTTGAAAACGTATACGATTTCGTAAAATCCTGGCAGGAAGGAAAGGCCACATCACTGAGAATGAAAGAGTCATGATCATGACTAAAATTTTGGGTGAGGAATTCTTTATTACCCAAATTTGGGTGAGGAAATTTTCCTCGCCCAAATTTGGGTGAGGAAAGTTTTCTCACCCAAATTTGGGCCATAATACTATGGAGCTATATAGGGAGCTGGTACACCCTTCCTCACCCAAATTTGGGCGAGAAAGTAAACCTCGCCCAAAATTGGGTATTGATCATGACTTTTTCATTCTCAGTGATGTTAGTGCACATGTACGAGTCTTAACAGCCTTTCGCCCATCCACTGCTGGCGGTAACAATAACCGTGAATACAATTGATCTGTTTGAAACTACAATCCTAACGGAGCAGAGACAGTCCTAAATCCTTGTCGATTCAGAACTATCCAAACTGGACATGACGTAAAAAGGCGGTATTTTCATTAGTCCGTGGCGCCGACTGCATAAAATTACTAGCCGAAGGACTTGTTTTAAGTTTCCATTGACGTGGACATAGTATTTCAGGGATTTCACGATTCACTGATTTGCAGTGAGGAGAGTTCACACTACAAACCTAACTGTCTACTAAGAACACACTTACAAATGCATGCTTGCAAGTACACACTTATAAACGCATGCTTGGCAAGTACACACTTTTACAAATGCCTATGCTTAGCATGGAGTTATTTGGCGACAAGCATGCACTTGTAAGTGTGTACTTGGCCAAGCATGCGTTTGTAAGTGTGTATACTTAGTAGACAGTTCGGTATGTAGTGCATGCTTCTGCAGTCAGGATGGTTCTGAAGCCGCACTGAGAGGACTGTTTTGGATCCGCACTGGCAGTTCGGAATAGGAAGCGTCAAAATCACTCTCACATTTCATGTTTGGCCGTTCAGTAGTGAGGGTCCGATGTGACAATTTACGAGTCTGGATGGAGTTACCAAGCGGAGGACGGTAATGTAACCATGCGACAACTACATCGCCTAGTTAACCAGTGCGGTCTTCAGCGAGGCCAGAGGAAGTTCCGTTTTTTTTTTTGCTTTTTTTTTTGGCGTGGGGAGGTATTTACCGTATAGTCATAGCGGTTGGCGAAAAAAAACGGCAAAAGATATAAAAAGCGTGATTTTTTGCAAGCGTGTTGCTAAGGTCCTAACGGTCATTTTGACCCGCAGCACACTCATTTTGGACCCATAGGAGCCGAGCAGTGTTCAATTTCTTGTTCAAAGTGTTCAAAATGTTAAAAAAATTAATATTGTCGCCCCGAAACGATCTAGGTGTCGTTTCCGCACAATTTGATGACGACAAACTCAATGGAACACACCCCACATTGATACCACGCACCGTTCAGCCGCCATTTCGAAATTAAGGGCCTAAATGCAAATTTTGTAAAACTTGCGCTGAAATAGCGAATGGGATGTCATTTCCGGGTTAAATGGTGCCGCTGGTGATGAAAACGAAGGTCATAATATTGCCAACACTCAGGGTGATCTGCTAGCTGCGTTCAATGACCTGTTCAAAGTGTTCAAAAAATATTATTTTCGCTCCGAAACGATGTAGGTGTCGTTTCCGCACAATTCGATGACGACAAACTCAATGGAAAACACTCCACATCGATACGACGCACCGTTCAGCCGCCATTTTAAAAATAAGGGCCTAAATGTTTTTTTTAAAATATATATTTTATAAGTAGAGCGGTCGGTCAACAGTACACTGTCAGAAAATTCCGAAAAAAAATGGAAAAATCATGGAGTTTTTCCGAAACTTCTGCAAGGAGCTCTCCATAAATGCAACTGAGCTTTCTCCGAAAAGTTTCGGAATTTTGAACAAAAATGCATGCTTCATTATCACGAAAACACGAAAAAAGGTTTGCAACCAGTTAAAAAATGGGGGGAAGGTACCCCCTACTTGTTTACCTCAGGTTTTTATAATATTAAGGGAAAGCTACAGGATATAAGTCCAATGAGCTCGAAGGAGACCATCCCTTCTTTGACCATTTCAGACTAAAGAATGCTTCAGCGAAGCCCTCTTTAACATATCTGAGAAAATATATGCATTTTACCTCCCTCTAGGACCCAAGTAATGCTCCAAAGAACATCTGTTTAAGCCCTGAGAAAATTCCTCCGAAAAAAGATGGAAAATGAATGGAGTCTCCATGTACGTGATTATAGGGTTTTTCTCCATAAAATTTGGGAGCTAATTTCTTACGGAGTGATTATAGACACGCCGCGTTTCTATAAGAAAAAAGACAGTTATATGCACACCGGAAAACCGCTGGTGTGTATATAATTAAAAATGGCGTTATTTTCACGCGGCGTGTCTGCAATGTCTAGTTTTCTTATTAGCACGCCGGAAAAGCTTTTCCGGCGTATCAATAATAATTTGTAGCTTTATGTTGACGCGACGTGTCCCTAATAGTGTATTATCTTATTGACACGCTTCAAACTCGTTTCGGCGTGCAATTAATATTTTTCTGAGTAAGGGACACGCGGCGTATCTCCAATGCAGTGTTTGCTTATTTAAACGCCGAATGGAAAAATGTGTTTCTAGCGAGGAACCCGTCCCGCCAGGCTGGCATGGTGGATGGATGGATCCGTACACGCATGCTAAGTTTTTGTCCCCGGTTCGAATCCCGGCGAGTGCGGCGTGCAAATAATATTTTCCCCCTTTGTTTGCACGCCGTGTGCGAATAATAAATCTAGTAGTTGAAGACACGCAGCGTGAACGCAGCGGTACAATTTCTTATAGAGACGCCTCAAAATCTTTCTGGCGTGTACATAATACCTTTAGCCCCAATTTCCACGCGGCGTGTCTATAAGGCACAAAATCCTTGTTTACACGCTTGGTCAGTACAAAGTGCTCCAACTTGCAACCCGACCGGCCAGGAAGGCGTCGTGGGCCGGTGGCACCGCACCTACATGCTAAGTTTTTGTCCCCGGTTCGAATCCCGTCAAGTGCGGCGTGCAAATAATGTTTTCCGCCTTTGTTTGCACGCCGTGTGAGAATAATAAATTCAGCAGTTGGAAACACGCGGCGTGAACGCAACATAGGGTTTTCTTATGTACACGCTTCGAAACACGCGTTAAGTCCTCAAGCACGGTGAACAGGACTGTGGGATGACTGGGGTCTGTCAGGACCACGACGGTGTCATCCACGAGGAAACACTTAGGTGGTAGACACCCTTCCCTTGAGGACTTTCCCTTTTTTTGCCATAGGGCGAAACACAGCAATGAATGCTTGAAAAGACGATGAGATTGCACGAGTGCAAATAAACATATGGTGAGTTCTGTATTAAGTTCCAAACAATGTTACAAATTGGTTTTTATTATTTTTATGGCATGTTTAACCATACTCAGTTAGGCTTTAATTTTAACTCCTTTTTACGTATGTGAAGAAGTACGTAGTCTTAGACCTACTGTTGACCGCTGTACTTAAAAAGTACATATTTTAAAAAAATAATCAACATTTAGGCCCTTATTTCTAAAATGGCGGCTGAACGGTGCGTCGTATCGATGTGGAGTGTTTTCCATTGAGTTTGTCGTCATCGAATTGTGCGGAAACGACACCTACATCGTTTCGGAGCGAAAATAATATTTTTTGAACACTTTGAACACTTTGAACAGGTCATTGAACGCAGCTAGCAGATCACCCTGAGTGTTGGCAATATTATGACCTTCGTTTTCATCACCAGCGGCACCATTTAACCCGGAAATGACATCCCATTCGCTATTTTAGCGCAAGTTTTACAAAATTTGCATTTAGGCCCTTAATTTCGAAATGGCGGCTGAACGGTGCGTGGTATCAATGTGGGGTGTGTTCCATTGAGTTTGTCGTCATCGAATTGTGCGGAAACGACACCTAGATCGTTTCGGGGCGACAATATTAATTTTTTTAACATTTTGAACACTTTGAACAAGAAATTGAACACTGCTCGGCTCCTATGGGTCCAAAATGACTGTGCTGCGGGTCAAAATGACCGTTAGGACCTTAGCAACACGCTTGCAAAAAATCACGCTTTTTATATCTTTTGCCGTTTTTTTTCATAAATCGGCGTGAACCGCTATGACTAGTATTGCACAGTACATTGTAAACGCAGATTACGTGGCGTCCTACGAGCAACACCAGAAAAAATACCATCAGAACCTCGTTTTGAAAACTGTTAACCCATGTGACATGCAGTCCGGTGTCAAGTTCAATCTAACCAGTTTTCCATGTAGATTTTCTCACAAGAGGGACCTCTTGGTTAAAAAGGGCAAAGAATATTACAGGAAGCCAGAATTCCAATTTGAACCGGACCGTTTACTCGGTATGAGAACGAATGCATGGTTTGTGTTGAAATGAAGTAAAAGAAAGGGGCCACAGCCCACAGCGTCTAAAATCAAGAACATTTAAACAACCATAAGTGCAATTTTCTTTTAAGTCCTTATGCTTTCGCCCTATCCTGGACACCTGTTCTGCTTGCAATTTTCATCTAACAGCTAATCTCATCAAGGTTCACACCCCACATCAATAATCAAGAATGGAACGCTCTAGCTCGAGCTAGTGCCCCAGGAAAATTTCAAATCGCCTGATTTGATGATTGCTGAAAGATCAGAAAGAAAGAAAGACCTGCGTAAAGCGATTGCATTTTGGACCGTCATCGTTGCTAGCGTTGAAGCTTTTTTCAGGGAGGGGTGTGCATTTGTTAGAGTGTACTTGCCAGCATTCACTTGTAAGTGTGCACTTAATAGACAGTTAGTTAGGTCTGTCGTGTTGTAGTAACTGCGGTCTGCGGTCCTACAAATTTGTTCTAAATCTAAAATAAGTCACCACGAAAAATGTTCACCCGAAAATTGGTGATTAGTACGTACTGCCGCACTAGGCGGCGCAAGGTCGATATTTCACACCCGGCCGACTCCGCCCGCAACCCTCCCCGGGCACGCATGCATGACGCACGGGCAGCGTTTTCGGCGGAGTGGAAACGAGAAACACTCTCCATATGTTCCGGGTCGGGGTCGCGGTGTTCGGCGTGGCAGTACTAGCGGTAGGTAGTGTAAGTCACTTTTCCTCAGAATTTATGAAATTAAGTCGCAATTTAAAGACATTCTTCTAAAACCATTGTCATAAATATTCACTGTTAGAAATTAGCTCCGAAATTTTATGAATTCGTTCGTTTCCGCTTCGTTTCCATCTTTTCACTAAGGGCTTTAACAAATTTTCTTCGAAGCATTAGCTTACTTGGGTCCCGATGGGAGGTAAAATGCATGTCTTTTCGTAGCTACGTTAAAGAGGGCTTCGCCGAAGCGACTATCTCCTTCGAAGGTTATTTGAACAACATCCTCCATGTTATGAAAAACTCCAGAGATTTTTACTTTTTTATTTCTCGGAAACTTCTGATACTGTATCGAAATGCATGGAATTTTGACTGCAATTCACTCAACCCTGCTGGAATGCTGGATGCGAATAGGACGTCCAGGATTCGTCCAATTGCCATCCCGTACATCCACGACCTACTAGATGCATCTTACAGCTATCCACGCATCCTGCAGGCCATCCTAGTTTCGTCCAACTTATCCAATGACGTCCCACGCGCATCAAGATTAGGTCCTGTGCATTCCAGACAGAAACACATAAGGTGTCCATGACGTATCCACCGCATCTCTGCGTTCCGAAATCGTCCCACCTGTGTCCACGTATCTCATCACGAACCATCCGCAACCCATCCTCGCATCCTTGCCATCTCAGAGCCATCCGCCTCGTATCTCTGCATCCACGTGACCAAATTGAATCACAATAGCGTCCTAGTATCCAACCGTTTGACGCATCCCTGGCGCGTCCGTAGCGTCCGTCTTCTTCCCCATAGCATCCCAGAAACATCCAGCGCGTCTGAGCGCGTCTGCAACGTACCGTAAGCATCCCTAAGGTATCCAGGCGACCCACCCTCATCCTAAACGCATCCGTCGGCCTCCAGTCTATCCCAGCAATCCATTTGGCATCCCGAGTGCATCCAGGGCGTCGTGTAGGCGTCCCTTCGGCATCCGAAATGCATCCCGTCCACCTCCAGCCGTCCTCTCGTCAAAGACCGATCATCCCGTCGGCGTCCACTTTGCATCCGAGGTGTCTTGAACGCGTCGGGCGCATCCCAATCACCTCCGGCCATCTCATCAGGATCCCAAAGGCATCCGAGGGGTCCTAAACGCGCAACGAGCGTATCCGAACTGTGCGCGAGGTATCTCCAGTGCATCCCGCCCTCGTCTGGCCGTCCCATGGGCATCCAATGGCCATCCGGCGCGTCCTTAACGCGTCCAGAGCGTATCCGAACTGTCCGAGGTGCATCCCCAAAGCATCCTCCTCGTCCGGCCCTCCCATGGGCATCCAAAGGCCATCCGGCGCGTCCTTTAAAGCGTCCAGAGCGTATCCGAAATGTCCGAGGTGCATCCCCAATGCATCCCGCCCTCGTCTGGCCGTCCCATGGGCATCCAATGGCCATCCGGCGCGTCCTTAACGCGTCCAGAGCGTATCCGAACTGTCCGAGGTGCATCCCCAATGCATCCCGCCCTCGTCTGGCCGTCCCATGGGCATCCAATGGCCATCCGGCGCGTCCTTAACGCGTCCAGAGCGTATCCGAACTGTCCGAGGTGCATCCCCAATGCATCCCGCCCTCGTCAGGCCGTCCCATGGGCATCCAATGGCCATCCGGCGCGTCCTCAACGCGTCCAAACGTATCCGAACTGTCCGAGGTGCATCCCCAATGCATCCCGCCCTCGTCCGGCGTCCCATGGGGATCCGGCACGTCCTCAACGCGTCCAGAGCGTATCCGAACTGTCCGAGGTGCATCCCCAATGCATCCCGCCCTCGTCCGGCCGTCCCATGGGCATCCAATGGGCATCCGGCACGTCCTCAACGCGTCCAGAGCGTATCCGAACTGTCCGAGGTGCATCCCCCAAAGCATCCCGCCCTCGTCCGGCCGTCCCCTGGGCATCCGGCACGTCCTCAACGCGTCCAGAGCGTATCCGAACTGTCCGAGGTGCATCCCCAATGCATCCCGCCCTCGTCCGGCCGTCCCATGGGCATCCAATGGGCATCCGGCGCGTCCTCAACGCGTCCAGAGCGTATCCGAACTGTCCGAGGTGCATCCCCAATGCATCCCGCCCTCGTCCGGCCGTCCCATGGGCATCCAATGGGGATCCGGCGCGTCCTCAACGCGTCCAGAGCGTATCCGAACTGTCCGAGGTGCATCCCCAATGCATCCCGCCCTCGTCCGGCCGTCCCCTGGGGATCCAATGGGCATCCAATGGGGACCGGTGCGTCCTCAACGCGTCCAGAGCGTATCCGAACTGTCCGAGGTGCATCCCCAATGCATCCCGCCCTCGTCCGGCCGTCCCATGGGCATCCAATGGGCATCCGGCGCGTCCTCAACGCGTCCAGAGCGTATCCGAACTGTCCGAGGTGCATCCCCAATGCACCCCGTCCCCCGAAAGGCAGACGATCACTTGTGGTCCAGCCGTTAATCGCAATCGTCCCGGTTAGACAGCCCGTGAGGCTGGCGCGCCTTGCGGGTTTGCCTACCTTCCCCACTGTAGGCGCGTTTCTCAGCTTCAGGCGGTGGAGAATAAGGGTTCGCTTCCTTTTGCAACGTAGGCTTGGCGTCGCGTCGTTTCAGGGCACGCCTGGCTCAGCGGCATCGTCATCTTGCGCCGAAGTGAGGTAAAAAAAAAACCTCGTATGCTTGCGATTGCTTACGCTCTCGTGCACCATGCACGTGAACTCGGTCATTTTGGACACGGGAGGGAAGTCGGGAACGGGGAGTTACTTTCGCTGAATGTGGCGTGGCGTATGCTTTGGTGATCTGGTGGTGGCAAGCCAGCCAATCATGGCGCCTCATTCCACCACCGGGCCCTCTGACGTCCGTATGCTACCCTCATTGAAGTGGACTCTTTCCACCTTTACCTCAATCCGCTAGCGGTTTCGCTTACCTTGCTTGCTGTCGCCTTTGTTGAATCCTTCTCCTGCACGATCTACCCAAGTGACGTTTTCTGTTCCAGGGATAGTCGCAGGGCAGGGCCTTTCCAGTGGAGGCGTAGGGCCGGGACACCACGAAGTGCACGAGCACGGCGCCTGATGTATAGGCCACCCACCCGGACGACTTACCTTCAAGTTGAGGCCCGTGGAGACCTCTTCCAAGACGCTCTTCGCCCTCACCCAGCATCCAATATAAATTATTGTGTCCATGTGTGATTCTTGTTTGGAAGATTTATAGACTGAGCTAGAGAAGTAGAGATGGTTCAAACCAAGAGCTTTACTTTACTATTAAATGATAGATAAACTGTGAAAACATTCCCTTGTTAATTTCTCAGGTGTTGGCCTGCTCATTATCCTTTTTGTTTGAATCTAGAACAAATGCCCCCACTTTAAACTGGAGAGAGTATCTTGAGAATTTCACTCTAGAAAGTCATTCTTAAAAATAAAATAAATATTCAATTTGTTTAAAAAAAATTAGTGTGTGTCAAGCTCCAAAAAGAGTAGCTCTATATATCCAAGAAGGTACAGTATTCTTGAGAAATAGTTTTGAAAGGGGCCCATAGAATTGCTGACGGTATAGTATTTATACCGCTCAAAAACAATCAGCACTAGAAAAATCGGGTACTAAATGGGTAGCTTACAGAATATTTCATCAAAAGACACTTCAAACATATTTCATGATTTTTATTACTTCCTCCAGCAATATTTCCTCTCATTGTTATCAGATCTGTAATCATAAAAAATTAGATTAAAGTGAAACCTGCGAGTTATCAAACTGGTTCAATACAATGTGATTTGTTTACATGGAACTGATGTGGAGAGTTCCATAACTTACCTGATAGTAACTCCTTCAACACTTTATTGTGTAGAATATCCTTGCACTTATTTCTCACTGCACGCCACAATCAAGAACCATAGAGTCATGATAGTGCAGAAACACGATTTGACTTGAACGTTACAGAATCGAAGTGCCTGGAAACAAACACCAAACATTTTGGGCAAAAAAACCATCAACACACAAAACACACACACTATTTACTGTATACATACCATTTGTTTGCATCTAGGAAGAAAAAAATTGGCCGGAAACTGTGCTTATCTCAATGTCATCCTGCAACAACAACAAAAGTGAATGAGTAACGAAACAAGTAGGTGTGTATCACAAGATGGTTCGATAGATGTTTGAAGTAAACTCACATATCAAAAGGGACCCAGATTTTTCTTTTTTGTTTTTATTTTAATAGTTGTATATTTTTCTTCTCTTCCTCCAAAAAGAATTCATCGGTCTCGACAATCTGAAAGTAAAACCATAATAAAGTGAGAAAGTTTACATGCCGGTGATAGTAGAATGATAGAAACTAGTGAAGACGTATTACCTGCAATGATGCATTCAGAAATGATAATTTTCCCAGCTCGATCAAACCACAGGTTCTGACCCAGGTTGGAGGCTCATCTCGTGCATTAAACCTTTGTCAGCAGGTGGGGTGCCTAAAGGCAGGCCGATATCCTGAAATGTTAAAACAAACTAATTTAATACGAGGAAATAACTGACTTTCTGATTTGTATGATCCTAAGTACGCTTTCAGCATGAATGGTTGGTTTGGTGTTTTGTTTATGTTGTGCATGGGTTGTCGTCTGCTTTTTCGTCATGCCAACAGAACATACAAAACTCTTGTGATTTCTTTCTTTTTTTGTAGAAATTCTGCAGTTTTAATTAGCATTGCTGCAAGAAAATCCCAAATTATTTATGTTTGAGGAAGTTTCAGAACTTTTAAGTTAATTTTTGTACTTAATTTGTGCTATTTTTTTGAAGCAGCGTTGGCAAACCGATGAAACAAGTTTGCCGCTGCAAGTCTCAAACACGGACAGAAAAAAGCCAAGTTCAAAGTATCAGTTTCGTCTTTAGATCGCTCAGCAAATGTTAGTCCACGACTGTTAAAATTTCGTCTCACAAAACGTCTGATTTTGCGCTTGCCTGCTTTTCAAAGACCATCTTTTTCCGTCTTACGTTGGCTAACATGTTTCGCGCTAAAGTTCCTTGTTTCCGGCGAGCTTTCGCGTCAGTGGTTTAACAGTTTTTGTGAAGAGTGAACCTTCGAAGAACGTATTTGGAAACATGTTTGCCTATATTCGTGATGTGGGGAAGGATACGAAGGAGTTTATTCAGTGTGACCACCTGTTCGAGTTGAACAAGCTCCAATTTAAGGCCTTTCAGCCCAAGAACTTGAAAGATTTTTCTTTGGGCAACTTGTACGGGAGAGTGGTCACGGACAAAGATGGCGTGGCGTGGATGGCCAAGTGCCGCATCGTTACACTTCGAGGTACGTTTAACGGTACTTGCAGCTCAGATCCCAACTGTGATGCTCGTGGGAAGAGACAGATTAGGCACGCTTTGCCCGCGTCTAGGGTAGCTCCCCTCTTTTTATGTATCTCTATCTACCGAAAGAATGAAGAAAACCGAGTGTGGTCTCTCAAATTTGAACCGAACCGATTCGAGATAGGCGGCAAGGATTTCCCGATTCTTTCGTCTGAACACCCACATCAATGAGTGGCCGCTTCCAACCTGCCGATGGTGTGTGAGAGGAGTCGGTCCAAGGGCGGGGCGAGGGGCTTCAGCAGACTGATTCCGAGAGTCGTTTTCGTCGCTCTGTCTCTGTCGCACTCATGGCACGTCGCGCACATGTGAACGTGAAAACGACGCTCGGAATCAGTCTGCAGGCTGGATTTTGAGAGTCGTTTTCGTCGCTCTGTCTCTCGCACCTGTGCGGGACGCCCCATGAGTGCGACTGAGACAGAGCGAAGAAACGGACTCTCGAAGTCAGTCTGCTGTAGACTGATACCGAAGAATCGTTTCTTGTTTCGTCGCTCCGTCTCTGTCGCACTGATGCGGCGTCCCCCTAGGGTGCGAGAGAGACAGAGCGCCCAGGCGGTTCTTTGAAAATGCCCGCCAAAAGAGAGAGAGAGAGAAGGGGGGGGGGGGTGTTTACAGTGACGTTTCGCAGGAAAGGAGCGGTTTTTAAAAGACCTGACTGTGAAAGTTGCCTTACTACCCATCTGTTTTTTGTTGTTAAAAAATAACATTTCACCACCAAATTTTGGAAGGTTTTGCAGAGATATCTTTAGGGTTGATTTCTTCCTCAGTCTAAATATTGTTTTTCTATGCCTTTTTTTTAGACACTTTGGAAGAGTTTGAAAAGTTGCAGAAGGATGGAAAACTTCCTCGCTCAGTAGTAGCAAAATATGAGTCCTCTCTAAAACCAAAAGAGCTGTACAGCACTTTCCTCAGATGCGAGGAACTGGTCAATGTCAAGTCTCGTAACGGCAAGGTAATGAGTCTTGAGATCTCTTATTGTGGATGAGTTTTTCCTGTGCCTATCTGCTTTCCCTTATTGATTTTATGAAGTAATGCATTGTATTTCCAATTTTTCCCTTCTCAGCGTCATACGTCAAAACCTACGAATGAAAGCCTCACGGACTTCTACAAAAAAAAGATTGATGCTACATTAGGGGTAAACGCTGTTTCATTTTCATTACTTTGAGCGTTAATGAATTATTTATACTTTCATTGTATTTCTTGTCACCATCAATTTGATCAGATGATGTGGCAAACCAAAGTCCTTAATGGCATCAACTTTTTGCAGGGTTCATTGTTAACAGCAGGAGCTAGTATTGGCCTGGACATTGTACAAAATTCATTGGAAGAAACACATCAGACGCCGACAACTTCCCTCAATGATACAGTAATAATTCCTTTTGTGCTATTTTCTAATTTTTGTAATTATAGACCTTTGACTGTACCACATTCTAAATTATTAGGAAACTGGAACATTGATAATTGATGAAGATGACCGGTCCAGTTGTGCAAATGATGGTGGGCCTTCGGAAGTGGCAAACTCACTACCTGGATCACCCCTACAAGTTAGTAAATTTATTTACTTATTGCCATTTTTCATGTTTTTATCCTTGAAAAATTACCTTAGCTTTACAATTTTGAAAACTTGTATTTTATCTTAAATTTTCAGGGACTTTCCAACTGTGAACCAATAACTGATCCCCACAGTTCTATTGTGCAAATGGCGCCAGGTCATCGGCCTGCTGGACACCTCTTTGGTGGAATTAAGGTACTGCATTAAAAATATTAACTATGGTTGCAAACTGGTTACTAAGATCAGCAAAACTCCACGATTTAAAAACTTGCACTCTAATCTTCAATTTTCAGGGAAATACTTTAATAAGGGTACAACGAGCCTTTGATCACAGCTCTTCTAGCAAAATGCCATCACCCTTCTCAACGCTTTTTGGTGGACAGTCAGCGGTACTGCCTTTTTGAATTGTTAACTTAGCAACTAGTTAGTAAAAGAGTAGCTAAAACTCTATAATTTGTAAACTTGCACTTTCTCTTAAATTTTCAGGCCTCAAGACAATCAGAAAGCTCAGTTGCAGGCCTCAGCTCAAATGAAGGGTCATCAGAGCAGCTCCCAATGGACTACGACGCCAAGGTGGGGCATTTCAGACTGACGTTTCCTTTTGGAATGTCAGTATTGTGACTTGATTGAAATCGCAGTTGAGTGGAAATAGTGTCCAATACAATGTTCTTTTGTTTAAGATCAAAGAACTGTCAGAGGATATAGAGGGGATTAAGAAAACAACTCTAACAATCAATCAAAAGTTGGACCAAGTATTGGAATTGTTGGTGAAAGGTGATTTATACTAAACACATTAATGACAGTTTTGAAACAGAAAGAAGAATGGTTCTCCTTAATCTAGTCGTTGTTCTTTTCAACAGGGGCGCCGTCTGGTACAGATATTTCCAATGCTGTAACATTGGATGAGGAGGACACGACTGAACCAAAACTCTCCATCCAAGAAGGACATGTAAAACTCTTAATCCTTACATTTCCCTTTTTTTACCGTCATTACAAGTAATAAAACTGTTATATTTCAGGTGCACCTTGGGGGTCCCCGCACTCTCAGGAGGACATGGGCAGAGAGTATTGTGAGCAGCAACAAGAGCACACTTCAATGGAAAGTGAGGCAGCTGGTTGAGAAACTCTATGACCACGAACTTAAGACTATACCAGTCGTCAGGTATTATCTGGAGTTGCCGATCAAAGAAGCCGACCAAACTCCTGAAGATGCGCTCTTCCCTGATTCCTGCATTCAAGGACTTTGTAGTAAGTATTTAATGTTGTTCTCACTTTTATGATCATTACAGTATTTAATTTAATACAATTTTTCTGTTTCAGACTTCATTAACTTAACTAATGAAAATAATGCAAAGTCAGTCTTTCTAAAAGAGAAACAGAAGCTAAAAGTGATAAAGAATGAAGAAGAACGACTGGAAAAGATAGAAGAGCTTAAAGTCACCATACTTGGCTCGATAGAGCGCCTGACAATTGTTGATATCAGAAAGGTGTTGACTAAGGTTCTTTATGCCTTGAGGCCTCCCAAAGTGGCAGTGGAGCCCCCATCAAAAAAGCAGCGTTCAGAGGAACAAGATAATACAGATTCCTAATTTCTTACTTGTTAATGTTGCGAACTTCTTTAGTGTTCCTTCAGAACTTCATATATTTGCGCTGTATACTTAACATCTTCATCTTTCAAGTCCAATTGTTTTGATGAAGTAATAAAAACAGTAATTTTTTTGGTTGTAAAGTTGAAAAATATTGCAGATTTTCAGTACTGTCAGTCCTAGTGGCTTATTGTATAAATGATTTGGTCTTGTTCATTTTATATTTACTGTGTTTTGTTTTTCTGGTTTACTTTTGTTCCTGCAGAAGTTGATTTATTTGTGCTGTACCTAACATCTTAATCTTTCAAGCCCAATTGTTTTGATGCAGTAATAATAACAGTAATTTTGTTTCATTCATTATCTTTGAAAACTTTTTTCAGTACTAATTACAAGGTACTTGTGTCATTGTTTCCTTAAAAATGTCCCTTATTCCTATTCCTCATTATGATGATTTGAAATAAATGGGGCAACTCATGTTAAATATGATCGGTCTTTCTTTCTTACATTTACACCCGATTCTTTACCTGCACCCTAGGCATGAAATCAAAAGATATTGGTTTAACAGTAAATGGCTTTGGTGGAGGCTGCATCCACCCAATTTTGTCTAATTCCAATTTCACATGATTATAAAACAAAGGGAGTTAGAGGTTCTTTTAACTCTTGAAGAAATGGTTAGCATACTTAATATTTCTAATCTGAGGCAAATGCGAGACAATGAGAGCAAGTGCATTTCCTGTCAGTAGTATTTTTATTCCTATTTCAAGTTTGAGACCAGTTTTCATTTAATTTGAACTTTGAAGATATTTAAAAAATTAAGTTCAATCATATACTACTTGAGATAATGAGGGATTTTGAATCAAGAAAAAAGAGACCAGATTACTTTATCAAATTATATAATGCCATATCCAACATACTTAGTGCAATACAACATTAGTGCTTCTTATACTTTAATACATAATGTAGGCACTTATTTGAAAAAGGTGACTAAAATCCTGGAAAACAAATAAAGATATTTTAGGAGGTAGTTCCCTCTAGTATGAATTGAACATAAAATTAATAAATAGAGTACTTACTTAATCGATTTCATTCAAATTTGGCACTGGAATGAAAAACATATCACCATGTAGTGGAGCTTTGACGACAGGAGCTCTTACTTCATCCAATCTCAGAAAGTGCAGCAACCCTCTATCATGCTGAACCTGGCAGATCTGCTTGCAAAATGGAAAGAGAGGTCTCGCCCTGCGTACTACTTCATGCTCTAGAACTAACAGCCCAGTTCTAGTTTGTCCATCTTGTGTTTGGAAACGGACCACATTTTGAATTGTGCAAAATGTATTCTGATGGGTAAAAATAGATGAATCATCTATCCTCGCATCTGCATGTCGGAGGGAATATCTTGAGGTTGTGTACCTGGTGCCTCTGATCAATACTTTCTCAAACACTTGAAGATGACTAGTTTCATTGTGCTCCAACTGCAGAACGCCTTCTTCTTCAGGGGACGGCTGTCTTTCAGATGATTTTCCTAGCAGATAAGTGGATTCATCCACTTGAATTGCATGTTTGTACCTCTTCTTGTGGAGAATGGCATCAATTTGGGCCTTTATGTCATCTGCAATGTCTTCAGTGAAACCTATTAACTCAAGGACTTGATGAATAAGGAGCTTTGTAATAATCTGAAGCATTGCACCCTTTGGAGACTTCACTAGTTCCATCAGTATGTGATTCCAGCTCTCATAATTGAAGGTGGTGTAAACCCAATATGCTCCCCAACGGCGAACAGATTTAGCAGCATGGAGGAGCTCATGAAGATTTCGTCTAGTTTTTCCAACACCGAAGTCATCATACAAAATGAGATATTCTTTAAAGAGCTTCTCAGCGTTGTCAGTATCTTGAGGTTTGATTATATCCATGGAGAGAAGGTAACTGGCATGTGAAACTCTTTCTAAGTGTTGAATGTACCTATCTGCTACTAAACCATGCAGACAGATGGGTGCAAAATACCACAGCCAGTTTCGCCAGTCAGTGCCATGCCATTGTCTTCTGTTCTTGAATAGATTGTTTCCAGCCCTTCTTGCAATACAGCTAGGTACTTTGATCGCTTTCAATCTAGCGTCAATTATACCAAATAGTGTTTTCTCCCCCATATTTTTATCCAATCTTGGCACCTCAGTAACTAACAGTTCAGTGTGATGCACAGCAGCACATTCATACACATTGTGCAGATCATCTGCAGCATTACCTTTGGCCAAATCTAGGTACTTCAAGTTAGCCAAGGGGGTGATGCCTTTGTGACCTCGAACTGGTTCATGAGGGGGCTCTTGAGCGCGCAACATGTCAGCTTTCATACCTGCATCAGTGCGCTCTGTGAACGGTGGAAGTTCTGCATGAACTGCTGGATATCTGACCCGTGTGTTATGAGTGACACCATAGTGGGTGCAAGATGTACAGCCATAGTGAGAATTATGCTGAACCATATTCAAGATTTGAGCACGGGCTTTCCCGTCAACACAGAAGCAAGCTGGAACAAATCGGCTGGTCACTTCTTCACCTCTCTTCATCCACTTGACACCAGTAGAGGAGAGTCGGTTCATTTGTTGAACAAACGGGTGCAGAAAAGATACCATGTTGGGTTCTTTCACATCCACATAGAGTCCAGCCAAAAACATGAACCGTTGACGTAATCCTGGTGCAATTTCATTAATCCGAACAAAAAGAGGATATATGGTCAATTTTCCTCCCTTTCTTATTTTGCAACCATCAACATTGAAGTCATACGTATAGTTGTTTGAGTTCATCAGTTCTTTGCCCTCGACACGAATAGCTTTATATTCTGAACCATCAAATATATCCTCTATGTCGGCTTCTCCAGAAACCTTAACTCTTCTCTCTCGGTACTCCAGGAAATCTGCAGCTTGTGGAAGGGCCAGAAAGTGCTCAAGCTGTTTCTTAACACTTAGAGACACAAAGTAATTTGTTTTGTCTTTCCTTGTCCTCTGATGGCAATCAGGGCACTCAGCATAATCTTGTATATTTTGCTTCTTTCCAATCAGGCTGCCACACTTACTGCAATATGCATAAAACTGTATCCCAGCATCACTTCTTCCTAAGACTTTCCACAGTTCTGATTTAGATGAAGGGAAATACTTGGACCCATAAAGCAAATTTTGTGTTTGAAGCATCTGAATCAAGCATTCATAAGTAAGCCTGTGCCGAGAAGATAGGGCAAGATTGAGAAGAAGACTCTCTTTAACTGTCCTTCGGCGGTGAAAATCTAATTCTAAAGAAAGGGATTGGTGATCAAACGTGAAGTTCTCGTCATCTTCTTCATCACTGTCTTGAAAAAACTGAGCGGCATGGTCATCGGGATTTTGTTGAATGACCACTTGATCTCTTTCTTCCTCTTCCAAGAATGGGTCGAAGTCTGCCTCTAGCTCCTCATCCAGATCATTTATGTCATTATCATAATTGAGATCTTCACTCCATTGGTCATCATAATCTGAGTCTTGCTCAGGCTCCTGTTAAGAGAAAAGGGAGGTGAAAAAGATAAAATGTTTTCAGAAATACACAATAGATGAAACTAGATACTCACCACAACATTACGAATTGTACTATGTTCAGTGACAATAGGTGGCTGAATGTGCTCATTGACATTTGGTTGTTCAATATGCTCAACGACAATTGCTTCTTGTATGTCTTCAACAATCGGTTGTTCGAAGGGCTCAGCAACTATTGGCTGTACAGCATGTTCAGCGACAATTTGTTGTTCGATGTGCTCAGCGACCAGTGGTTGTTCCATCTGCTAATGATGGTAAAAGAAAGAAAATTAAAAATTAATGTAATTTAAAATAGACTTATTGCTGTACTCGAGGGCTAGAATCATTCATTTAGTTGCTAAAGTTGCAGTATAAATATCTGAAGTATTGAATGGGCTGACTAGCTAGTAATGTCTCTTGTTTATTTTTCTCAAATGGATGGATAGATGGATGGATGACAGGAACTGTCATACAAATTTGCAACACAGAAAAGCTTTTACCTGCTGATCTGGAGATGAGGAACTGCTTGAAGAATCATAGCGAAATTGTTTTGCCCTGGAGCCTTCCACTCTGTAATACCTGGCCCTACTTCTTTTTCCGGCATCTTCATCCGAATCGGAACTCTCCATTGCCCTGAAACATGTTTGACACGTTACGTCTGACAGGTTTACAATAGTTGCAAGCTCGTCGGAAGGAGTTGGCCCTATCCAAACTCTAGCGACCGTGTGACTACGACGGCCCTTGCGACGCCGCTTGCAACTATTGTAGACTTACAAAAAATATGAATCTTTTAAGACAAAGCACGCATGTCGAACTCACAAGCACATGACTCCAACCTCCAACTAAACCGAAACGACGCTCGCGACTAGAAACTTGGAAGCCGCAGAACTGTTAAACAAGCAAGCAACAATTTCAAACTTTATAAAAGCCCCAAAACTATAAATGAATATAGAAATCTGTAAGTGCTGGAATTACGTTTCAGACGCTTAAAAATATTGAAACAACATTTTTAACGATGGAAGACATCCAGTTTATGTGGTGACCTTGACCTTCCAGAAAAACACGGCCACACAAACACACCAAATTCAGCGACTAATTCAATGACAATACACAGTGCGAGGCTAGCCGTTGCGAAAGATGAGAAAATGAGACGAAGGAACAGCAGCCGGCAGAAATCCAGCCGGTGGCAACTCCTAGGGCCGCCCCTGACTCTCGCAGCAGTTCGGCGGCCCGCTGGACCGGGACCGGGCGGCGCTGGCGTCGCGCCGTTTTGAGTTCTTAAAATCAAGACAGTTTTATTAGAAACCTTATTTTGACTCAAAGATGTGTCGTCTCTGGTAGAAAAAAGTACAAGGAATCGATTGGCATACTTGAAATT